TCGTAGTCGTAGTAGTAGGTAGTAGTGGCAGTCGTAGTAGGAGTAGGAGGAATAGTAGTAGGAATAGTAGTAGTAGTAGTGGTAGTAGTAGTAGTAGTAGTAGTAGTAGTAGTAGTAGTAGTAGTACTAGGAGTCCTAGGACTAGGACTAGGCCTAAGAGGAATAAGAGTATGGAGGAGGAGGACGAGGCGTAGTAATAACAATGCGAATAAAGATCGCGGTTCGGTTCGGTTCGCAGGACTTGGGTTCGTGCGGTTCGGTTCGCGGTTCGCGCGGTTCGTTGCGGTTCGGTTCGTCGCGGTTCGGTTCCTGCGGTTCGGTTCGGTTCCACGGGCTTCCTGATATTTGTGTGCTGATGTCCTCGGACTTCTCACGTGCATACTCATGTCATCAAGTTTAGACCTTCGAGGCTGACCTGTACGGCAAGAACAAGAAGCGGAAAGAGTGCCTGGGTGCAGTCAGCTCACTCTGCAGCCACTGTAGGTCTTGGGCCATCAAGCGGGTTGCACATGTGTTCCTGCGAATCAGGCTTTGCAGCAACTTCAACGACAATTACAACAAGATCCCGGCACCGCAGAACTTTTGGGCCGCAGGTTGCGAAGTCCACGGCGCCTTGCCCCAACCAGTCCAACGGGCTACAGTTACAACAGTGACAAGGGCACGGCCCCTTTCCAGAGCAACATCCCTCGTTTGGCCCTAGGTGGTGTAAGCCTGTAAACCTGGCGCTGCATTCTTGGATGTCTGTCGCTGCAAAGGTGATACTCCGAAGGATTACTTTGGCAAGCAGCTGACTTTCTGGGACACGCTGCTTGCGAGCCACGATGAGGCCGGACCCAACCACCTTGAGACGGTTTGAGACCCCCGAGACCTTCAGCTGCGAGCTTCGAGCAGACCATTGATTGCAGGCGGACCAGCAGTGCAAGAATGCAACGGCTGCTGCGCTTGCCAAGGAAAATGAATGATGCCTGGCAGCATTTCTGGTGGGGAAGCTGTGGGTATAGCTTCACAGATCTGATCATGCCTGCAAAGACAACACGAACCCACATTCTGACAGCTCCCACCCTGGTTTTGTATACCCGTATCAGACTCTGTACCGACACATTGTTGTGGTGTTGACGAGGTCTAGTCTTGGCTGCCGTTCGCGCCAACCAAACGAAGCACTGCGACGACATGCAGGCAGAGACCTGGGAGGGACGGAGAGCTGTCATCTTGGTTGCATGTCATGGAAGTCAGAATCTGCCCGGCAGTGTGAGACACGGTGTGGCAGCTGATGCATCCGGCGGCCTCGGGTCAGCAACAGTTGCAAGTTGCAAGTGCAGGACCGGATGGACACGCTCGCTTGCAACCAGATGCGCGGGCGAATGGGCACCTGCACCGACTACGGCAGGCGAAATCTCAGTGGCTTCGTTGTGTCGCGTAGGACATTGACTCCGGTGCCTGAGGAGCAATATTAGTCATGCACTGGTCGGCATGCCAGCTTCGAGCTACAACTGAAGCCAGGTGCTTTAACAAGAGTCTAGATGCCTGGCACACGCTGCAGACGCTTGGCCTTGCTCATGATTTGAGAAACGTACCAACGGGGCCAACTCTCGGCAGCTCCCTGCCCAGTCTTCATGTTGTCACCATGCCTCGTATATGTCGATCCCGGTGCAGCCAGAGCAGTATGCATTTCATTTTACTCTATCGAAGTTTGCAATCCGTGTTTTGAAAGCCGGATGCTCAACAATCAAGACCAAGGAAGCTCAGTTGTGGCGCGGGTGGCACGCAAGCCAACCTGAAGGCACATACCTCTGCGAATGTTCATCTGGAAACCTGCATAGTCTAGATTCGTCTGTGTTTGTCTCAGCTTTCAACTTGTCAGCGGACAGTATCAGCACCACTTTTGCAGACATGCTTTGCCGGAAGCGCGCATGCGCTCGACCATTCCTCCCGCTGTTCCGTGCAGGCACAGCTCAAAGAAGTTCAGAACTTGGAGTGTGTCATTGAGGCGAGCCCACTTCTGCGCTAAGCTGTGGAGGATTTGCATGTTTGCGTCTTTGATTCTGGCATAGCACAGCTCACAGTTCAAATGAAAGACAAGGCCGAGAAAGTCAGGCTCGCAAAACTTCAATTTGGCAATCACCATGCGAGGTTCACAGCATCTCCGGTGCAGTCTAAAACCCTCGCTTTGCAACTTCAGGCTCGCTACTGTCCGAATCCCGCAACACAGCGAGCAGAACAGGTCATGAAGGCGAACAGCCAGCCGGCCTGGTCTGCCGGTAGCAGTGCGTGCAGCAAGAAGCAGTTCGACACGCCTGGGCCTTTCAACTTTTCTTGCCCAGAGCATTGCCTGAAATGCGAGGGTCGCAGGATCGACGTGTTCCGAATGAATTATCAATCAGGTCCAACATGACCATTGACTTCTGCACGAAGGGGCCGCCCGAGCGTCTGCATCTGGATGACTGTGCGCCTGGGATGGCTCACCTACCCGCAAAGCATTGCGATGGAATACTCCTGAAGCAGCGAGTTTAGAGTTCACGAAGAGTCAGACAACAGAAACAGAAATAGTAACTGAACGGAAGGTAAGATCAGCAGGACCTAGTGGCAGCTGTTTCAGTTTTCTATCCTGAGGATGTGGATCCGGCGACAGATTCTAGCATGCCTGGCAGCGTGTCTTGGCTGGCGATGCGATTGTTGGGGGAGTTGTGCAAGCAGTACAAGCCCAGGTTTTCAGCAAAGTAATGCAAAGAACTTCCAGCAATGCCATGCATCACGCTGGGACAAGTGGAGACTTGGACAACCAGGCACCATACGTGAAGCAGACGTATTCAGAGCTGCCCAAGACTGCGCCGGCCAAAGCTTGCGACTCCGTGTGCTGTTTGGAGCAGGCCCGAGCCAGTAACTCTGAGCACTCTGCAGCTTTGAAAATGCGACAGGGAGGCATGCAAGCTGGCCGTGATTGAGTGTTGTTTCCTCAGGAACGAAAAAGCCTCACCTGCCATGACTTTGTCTACTTTTTGTCGGTTCACCGACCTGTCGTCGTTGTGATGATTGCAGCTCGTATCGGGAGGTCCAGTGCCCAGAGAACTCCAACGGCATCAGCACCGTTTTGGGCTGTGTATGCAACAAGGCAGGAGTGGATTAGTTTGTCCACAGTGTCTTCCTAGATCAGCCAAGATTGCAGCAAGCCACACCCGAAAGATAAATTGGTTTTGTGAATGACTGGCACTCGAAGACAGCCTGGTATCCTACATCCTGCATCACTCGCGGGCTTAGGCGTCGCACGTCAGGGTCCGTCGGCGGTTTGTGCATGCCCTGTGCAGGGATTTCACGGGAAGATTGTTGCGCTGGCGGACGCGCCGTATTCCAAGGGCACCTGCGAACCGGTGGCCTGTCCAACATAATGTGTCTGAGAAGCTTCTCGCCGAAACATGTGGCATTTTGGATTGATGTTGCCTTGCCTCGGACACCAGGTGGCGTGCCCAGCCAACTCCACGGGAGAGAACGTCGGCAAGGGCTGCAAGTGCAACGCGGGCTTCCACGGCAACATTGTGCCTGTCAGGGAGTCGCCGTATTTCCGCGGGAGCTGCGCCAAAGTTGCCTGCCCAGAGGATGCCGTCGGCGGCTATGTGCCAGATGGTTGCACGTGCTCGGCAGGCCGTGACGGTGTGATCTCGGCCTTGGACCGACATCCCTTCTATTCTGACACATGTGAAGCAGTGAACTGCCCTTCCAACAGTGTGGGCGAGGATGTTGTGCAGGGTTGCGAGTGCTTGCCAGGATTCAACGGCACAATTAAGCCCAAGCTGGGCCAGCCTTTCTTTACGGGAGGTTGTCAACATGTTGCTTGCCCACCGGAGGCAGACGGTGACAGTGTTGCTGTTGGCTGCCGGTGCAAGGCCGGATACACTGGTGAAGTCACGGCTATCAAAGCGGCGCCTTTCTATGCGAGCACTTGCACTGAGGTGCCTTGTCCTGTCGGTACCACAGGTACCTCTGTTTTGGATGGCTGCACCTGCAAAGCTGGATCCTCTGGCAACATTGCAGCATCCGATACAGCACCTTTCTTTGAGGGAGCCTGTGCGCCGGTGGCGTGCCCCTCAAAAACCGTTGGTGAGAACTTGCTCAAGGGCTGCGCATGCCCAGAGGGGCACCAGGGCAGCGTCAAGGCGACAGCAGAATTTCCATACTACGAGTCCACCTGCGTGCCTGTTCCCTGCCCGCCACAATCCTTCGGAGCCAATGTAGCCAAAGGCTGCACTTGCAGAGACGGCTATTCCGGTGTGGTCAATGCTTCGAGCAAGTTCCCTTTCTTCACTTCGACATGCTTAGCTGCGGCTTGCCCAGCAAACTCTGCAGGCACCTCAGTGCCAGATGGATGCCAGTGCAAATCCGGGTTCGAGGGACAAATCATGGCCACGGCAGTGGCACCGTACTTCAACGGGACGTGCAAGGCAGTTCCATGCCCGTCTGATTCCTCTGGCACGAATGTGCCCGATGGCTGCACCTGCCTACCCGGCATGGTCGGTGAGGTTTGGGCGACCTCAGGTGCTCCGTTTTATAGAAGCACCTGCAAGTCCTTGGCCTGTCCGCTGCATTCGAAGGGCAGCTCGGTGCCCGAAGGCTGCGTTTGTGCCCCGGGCTATGCTGGCAAGGTGGGCAGAGTGTTCTTCTCAAGTCTGATGTAAAACTCCTCTTCGACCAATTGAGGAGGTTCGCTTTGGCTTCAGCGGTTATTGCTGTTTCGAAGGGGCTGCTTGATCGAACATCATTTCGCTCGGAGTGTGTGTACGTACAAGTCAAGAATAACATAGAAGAGCATTTCAGTAGCTGAGATGTGACTAGTTAGCCAGGCAGACATACAATTGCATGTCGGTGCGGTGCAGGTCGAGGCAGTTGTCGGCGGCCTGAAAAACTCCTGCAGGGCCGTGGCCTGTCCTCAGCATAGCGAGGCGAGGTGCAGACTGTTGCAGCCTCCACCCCGTTGTCTTTGTCCTGCATTCTGGCCGTTTGACTGCTAGTCAGCTAGTCATCTGTCCGTGTCTCAAGCTACTAGTAATAGCACCACGGGCTCATGCGCATACATTGTGTCTGCGGCAGCATGTGCTTTAACGTTGAACATGCTACCTATGTCATAGATGCAGATGTGCAAGCTCGCGGGCGCATACCTGTCTCAGATTGTCTCCGCATCATGACCTTTGCGCCCTTGTGCAAACACGCGAGATACGGGGTTCAGTTCCGACGCGCCTTGTTTTTCCATTCTTTGTTGGAAGGGCTCCCTGGTGACGACGGGCTGCAGCTGCAAAGCTGGATTTGCATCTTGGATGAGTTTACGACATGGGCTGCACAGCAACAAACTTGTTCGCCCCTTATTTGATTTTGTTCGATCTTCAACGCAAAATATGCAAGATTGTTGCTGTCTTTGTCTGTGAATGTGCAGCAGTTTAAGCTGTGCTGGATGGCTGCCTGCCTAAGAAAAGAAAGACACTGTAATCTTTTTTTGGAGTTGAGAATTAAAAAACAGGGCAAGAAGCGGAGCCAAAAATTGGTTTAAACTATGGATGAACCAATGCTTGTTGATTTTGCATGAAAATCTGCAGAACAAGATTTTTAACAAGAGCCAGAACGACAAAGATGTTTTGGATCAAGAAACAGACAGGTTGCACGTGAATTCAGCTGGTAGACCCGTCTCCACAAACACGACACAGTGCGATCGGAAGAAGTAATTGTGCTGTGACAGTGAACGTGCTGCAGAAGTGCGAGTTTCACCAATGCGTTCGACTGAAAGAGCCAGTCAGAAGTAGTTTCGAGGGATTGCCATAGATTTGGGCACCGCTAGAGCAATGTGAACTGACACGTGTCATGTTCTACAGACGCACGCTAAGACTGGGACCATCGCCACCGCCTCCACACCACCCTTCTACAGCGGTGGCTGCCTCTTGCCATAAAATAAGGTGATGCGCCTTGTTGCACCAGCAGCAAGCTGAAGGGGATAATGAAAGAACCGGCGACAAGATGTGGTGAGTTCGTTGGACTGCAGCGACGGTTGTCATGCTGTGACCGGAGCTGAGGTCAAGCTGTACAATGTCCGGAGTTCTCGAAGGGAGACAATGTTGCAGTGGGATGTAAGTGCAATGCTGGCTACAGTGGACGAATCATGGCTTTGAAAGCTGCCCCTTTCTTCGAAGGTGTTTGCACCGCTGAGGGTTGCCCTGAGAATGCGGAGGGTGAAGATCTCGCCAGCGGCTGCTCATGCAAACCCGGCTACAGTGGATCCATAGAGGCCATCAAGGAGGCCCCTTTCTACAAAGGGAGTTGCGTGCCAGCCGCTTGCCCTGCAAACTCAACAGGCACAGACGTTCCCACAGGATGCTCCTGCCTCCCAGGCTTCGAAGGGACGGTGGAGCCTAGCACAAAGGCACCCTTCTACATCAGCACGTGCAAGCTCGTACAGTGTCCCGAGAACAGCAGGACAACGAACACCCATGCGTTTGGCTGCAAGTGCCAGGCTGGCTACAGTGGAGAGATTTCGCCTACCAGTCAGGCTCCATTCTATACTGGAGAATGCAAGGAAGTAGCGTGCCCCAGCCATTCTTCCGGCAGCAGCGTTAGCGATGGATGTAGCTGCAGTGCAGGGTACAAGGGTGCAGTGGTAGCATCACAGCAAAGTCCATGGTACATGAGCACTTGCGAGGCGATTGCATGCCCCGAAGGTTCTGAGGGACGCTCCCTGCCCTCAGGATGCATCTGCTCACCAGGGGAGAGCGGTACCGTCGAGGCGACAACAGAAGAGCCTTATTACAGGAGTACCTGCAAGGCCGTAGCTTGCCCAGCAAACTCCGAAGGCCGCAGTGTGGTCGACGGCTGCACTTGCGCAAAAGGCTTTGCTGGCTCCGTCGTGGCTTCTTCCAAGGAGCCCTTCTTTCAAAGCAACTGCGTTGCTGTGGGCTGCCCTGCTAACTCCGAGGGCACGGATGTTGCCAGTGGATGCACATGCAAGCCTGGCTACACGGGCGAGATCGTGGCGATATCGGAGGCTCCGTACTACAAGGGTGCGTGCGTGGCGGCAGCCTGTCCTGCGAACTCTATTGGATCCAACGTCCCGAGCGGATGCACTTGCGCTGCAGGCTTCAGCGGCTCCATCGTAGCAACTTCCAAATCGCCGTTCTATGAGGGCAACTGCACCGCAGAACCTTGCCCGGTCAAGTCAAACGGAAAGAACCTGGCCAGCGGCTGCAAGTGCAACCCTGGTCATAGCGGTGCCATCACAGCATCCATGAAAGCACCCTACTTTGAGGGGTCCTGTTGGCCAGTGGCCTGCCCAGCCAACTCTGACGGTACTGACGTGCCAGCAAGCTGCACCTGCAGGCCAGGGTTTGCAGGCAAGATTGAGCCTGCGCCGCTAGAGCCATTCTATAGTGGTCAGTGTCACAAGGTGACCTGTCCACCACACTCTACAGGCAATAGTGTCAGTGAAGGGTGTGCGTGCGACGCAGGATACAACGGCACCATCCTTGCAACCTCCACTGCTCCATTCTTTTCTGGCAGCTGTTTGCCCGTTTCATGTCCTTCAGGTTCAACAGGAGCTGATGTACTGAGCGGCTGCACATGCAAAGCCGGCTACAGCGGTAGCATTGAGGCTTCCAGAGATTCGCCATTCTTCGATGGCACATGCGTTTCCGTGGAGTGTCCCGACAATTCTGAAGGACGGTCGGTCTCCGAAGGGTGCACCTGCAAGGCTGGTTTCAGTGGAAAGATCTCTAAGTCCTCCGAGGCTCCCTACTTCGAGGGAAGCTGCGTGCCTGTGAATTGTCCGGCCAACTCCGCCGGAGTGGATGTCACTTCTGGCTGCACTTGCAACGAGGGCTACAGCGGTGCTGTTCAAGCTATCAGCACTGCACCTTTCTACAAGAGCACTTGTGAGCCGGTAGCATGTCCGGCGAACTCTGTCGGCAAGAATGTGCCTGATGGCTGTTCTTGCAAGCCCGGGTTCACTGGCAGCGTGCTCGCGAGTGCAGACGCACCATTCTATCTCAGCAGCTGTGAGCCGGTTGCTTGCCCCAAGGATTCCTCTGGCCAGAACGTGCCGGAGGGTTGTGCCTGCAATGCTGGCTTTTCAGGCAAGATTGTGGCCAAAGCAGATTCACCGTATTTCGAGGGTGCTTGCCAGCCAGTGACTTGTCCGGCGCACTCCAAGGGCGTGGATGTTCCATCCGGTTGCAAATGCGAAGATGGCTACAGAGGTAAAATTGTGGCTTCCAGTAAAGCCCCATTCTTTTTCACCGGCTCCTGTACGGCGGTTCCGTGCCCAGCGAATTCCAAGGGCAAAAGCGTCCCAGAAGGATGCATATGTGAGGAAGGATTTAGTGGCTCAGTAACTCCTTTGCCATCTGCGCCCTTCTACCTCAACGACTGTGCTCCAGTCTCATGCCCAGCAAATTCCTTCGGGAAAAACGTGCCTGCAGGCTGCCAGTGCAGTGCTGGCTACACAGGCAGTGTGTCAGCTACCAGTGACGCGCCATTCTATTTGAACATGTGCAAGGAGGTGCCCTGCCCGGCGGACTCGATGGGCCAGGGGATCGCTAGCGGCTGCAAATGCCACCCTGGCTTCAGTGGCAACATCCAGGCAGGAGCACAAAAAATGGTTAATAGACTTCTGGTCGCCGGTGGCCTAGTGCAGGCAGAGTGTACAGTTGTTTTGGCAGGCCAGCACACAGGAGCCGTTCTACACCGGGAGCTGCGTGGCAGAGGCATGCCCCGAGAACTCGGATGGTCTGGACTTGAGCAGCGGCTGCAAGTGCAACCCCGGCTACAGTGGAACCATTACCGCCACCCAGGCCTCGGGAACGGTTCAAAAGCAGTATAAACACCGTGAGTAGGCTCACTAGGATGTCTTGTCGAGTCAGGTGGCCCCGTACTTCTGTGGCACCTGCGAGCCTGTTGCCTGCCCGGACCTGTCTACTGGACCAGATGTGCCGACAGGCTGCCAGTGTAAGGATGGTTCAGGCACAGTAACCCCTTCCAGCAAATCGCCTTTCTATGCCTGGAGCTGAGTCAGATCACGTCCTCGCATCATGTGCACGTTAGGATTCTGACTGGGAGTCTGCCCGGCCAAGTCTGATTGTCGCTGTGCATCTGCCTCAGGTTAGCACGTGTGGTGCCACTGCGTGAGTCTCAAACAGCAGCGCGTCCGCAACACGCGAAGTGAGATCTTCTCTATGCTTTTAGTCAAGTCCCCGAGTAGTGAACTCAGACGACTGTCTAATTGCCGCTGCATACATGCATACCCTCTTGATCACAGAGCAAGACGTACTTGTACATCGGACTAAGTGTATGTTGTGTGGAGTTGTCCATCGGTGGCTACTAGTCAACCCTTTCAAAAACTTTCAATTTGCTGAGACACTACAAGATGTGGTAAACCAGCGTCGGCAGTTGCTGGCCTGGCTCCTAGTCAACGTGAGTCAACTTTCACACGCTGCAGAGATGCTGCGGGAAAAGAGGGCCGGAGCTGGATGTGGACTGCAGGGGGGACAGGGGTGTAAGGATGGCACTGTTTGTCGCAGTGACAGGTGACGTCGTGCTGGTGGTGAGAGGTGGTGAGAGGCGGTGATAGGTGGTAGGAGTAGTAGTAGTGCAGTAGTAGCAGT